AGCCGACCAGACCTCCTATTTTTAACCAATCCTTCCACTCCTCCTGCTTTCTTACTTCCAATTCTTCAAGGAGTGCCAGGTTTAATTTCCTTTCTTGTGCCCAGTACTAGTCCAAAAAAGGATCCTTACGCATCTTCCCTTCCGCCACCTTTATCGCCTTTTGGACACACTTTTCTCTCCAGGACCTGTTTGCCGCCTTCATTCTAGAAAAGGTACTCAGGGCCGCCGTTATGATGCCCAGCCCCTACCTTTCCCCAAGTGTGTTCATGGGGAAAGAGGTCCTTGGCCTACAACCATGCCTGCATCTGATCTTTCACCCAAATCAGTATTCCTTTATCCTTTAGCAGATTCGTGTTTAGTCTGAACGGTGGTCAGACGTTGTCGAAAACCTCCCGGGGCACAATGTCCATACCCACTGGGTGGTGGTCTGACAGAAATGACGCTGCCATAAGGTCACACCACAGGCATCTGTCCCAGATTACTCCCCTAGCCAGCATAAAATCCAGTCTTTTCCTTTTTTTTTTTTTTTTTTTTTTTTTTTTTTAAACAAAACATCTGTGGCAACCTGCTATTGGAGGTGATACGAGCATCCTCCAATACCAAGCCCCAGATGGCTCCAATCTATTGGTGGGGAGCATCACCTGCTGGAAACCGGGTCCAGCGTCGCACTGACAAGATTGAAGACGACGTACCTGGCGGAACAACATTGATTGCCCTCTCTCGAGGGGATTGACTGTCCGCCCAATTATCAGCCAGGTCACAGCACATATGAAAATCCAGCCATGGGGAGGGGTGGCAAACTCTCCTCCGATCCTCCTAATTCCTCACAATCATAACCGTGCAAAGCAAACCCTAGGCCAAATCCAGTCTTTTCCTAGGTTGTGGAGTAATTGGGGACGCTGGGGGACCGTACCAAGTAAAGCCCCCATCTTCTGGGTTCATCACCCTGAACCCGTCAGTAAGGTTCTGTGATTCTGTTCGAGCTGAGAGCATGAGTATGTCGGCTCTGAGCGTGGCGGGTTTCGGGGAGTCTAGGACGCGGGATTGAAAACTGTGTTCCAGTCTCCGGCCAGCACTGGGTGTTCCACATCAGGGATCCATGATGGAAGGAGTGCGTTCATTGTAGTCAACCGGCGCATAAACAGACATAACTGCCCAGTCCTCCTCCTCCATAGCAAATTTGACCCACAGGCAGCGGCCCATTGGGTCGGCGAAGGAATCCGTTACTTCAATTTCTAAATCCTTGTTGACCAGGATTGCCACTCCTCCCTTGGACCCGTCTGCCGGGGCCCAGAACTTGGGACCCTGCCACCAACCCCTTGCTTCAAATTTTGTTTTTCTATATTTAACTTTTTTCCGTTTTCCCCAGGTCGCTCATGGTTTAGATTTGGGTTTCTCTTTTAATACTTTTCCCATCTGGCCATTATATTTTCGGCTGTTTTCGGATCAGAAGTGGACCATCTGGCTTGGTGATAACTGCGAGTTTGGCAGTTGTATTTTTGGCCATGAGCTCTGTTTTCAATGTGAGGGACGCCGGACCCGCTTTCCGGCTTCTATAATGATAACACAACCTCGGCATCAACCTGCCCGGAGTACCCGGAATTGCTCTCAAAAAAAAAAAAAAAAGGTGGGGCGCGACTTCGCTCACTCTGCTACCGCCTGTCCCCTGACCGGTGTCCCCCATTGGGGGTTCCCTGGAGGCAATAAATAAAGGCCACCCTGGGCTGCTGAAAAGGCCACCCGGTGTCAGATTAGACACAAGATCGAGTTTACCTGACGGTGTCCCCCTTTTCCCTGAAGGCAATAAGGCCACCCTGGGCGGGCTGTCCCCTGGCCAGTGTCCCCCGACTGGGGATTCCCGCTGAAGGAAATAAATAAAGGTCACCCTGGACTGAAAAGGCCACCTGGGCTGCAGCTCTGACACCTCAAATTCTGGAGGCGCGGAAACCATCGAATTTATCAACGGTGGGCCCAGCGTCTGACGATTCGGCCTCGTTTTCTTGTTGCGCCCAGCGTTTGACGATTCGGCCTCGTTTCCTTTTTTTTTTTTTTTTTTTTTTTTTTTTGGAGAAAATAGTGAATTTTATTATCAAAAGGCAAGTTTGAGGCCGGGGACCTCACAATTCTACCCGGAGTCTGAGGCCCTTACCCAGAATCGGCTCCATACTGGAAACCGGGTCCAGCGTCCCCATACTTGACCTATAACTCAAGTTTCTCCAAAAAAGAAGATATAAGCCTTAAGTTCTCTGAAAAAAAAAGGGGTTGGGGGTCTCGGGGGCATCCGGGTCTGCTCCTGAGCTCCCTTCATATCCACCTATCTCAAAATTGAATCTAAAGCGAACGTGAAGGCGAATATGAAACCCGAATGAGACCTGAGGAAGAAGACCCTTAAGATTAGACAGGGTTAAAAGCTAGCCTTTTACTCAAGGTGGGGGACTAAAGCGTTCCCCATGACCTATCACTGACAACAACCAAGAGCAAAAGGACAACTTTCCCTTGTCATCTACTGTCGCCAAAGCTGAATTCCTACCCCAAGTCTCATGACCTATCACTGACAACAACCAAGAGCAAAAGGACAACTTTCCCTTGTCATCTACTGTCGCCAAAGCTGAATCCCTACCCCAAGTCTCTTTAAACCACTTCAGTTGTTTCTGATTGATGCCCCGTGATGTACGTCGATTCCAATCGCTGATGATGGTTCTCCGCAGGTCCGCTGTAATCTGTTTCTTGATTTGTATATCCGACATACTCTGGTTTCGAAACAGCTGGTTGTTCCTGTCTTCCCATACTGTTTTCATGATCACTGCTCTTGTAACTTGAGCCACGTATCTCCAATCAGCATCGTTGTTCCCACACCCTGTCATTATCCATTCATCCGACCAATCGAAGCTGTTCTTCGTGAAGATTTTCCAATGTTGTATCCACCAGTCCCATACCCGTCTTGTAACTGGACAAGTTAGCCATAGGTGTCTTGTGGTTTCCCATCCCCATCTGCATTTAGGACAAACAGTAGATATTTCCATACCTTTGGCAGCTAACCAGACTGCTGACGCAGTAACTAACAACGACTGCAGCCACAGCATGCTGGCTAGCTTTTGGGATGGGAGACCTTTCAATTCTACCCACAAGCTTCTCATCGTGTCTTGGGTTGTACTCAAAAGGCCCTGTTCTGAGCGTCTTTTAGCAACTGTGGCAAAAGGGTATTTCTTTATCTTTTGTCTCAGAAATTTTGTGCCCACTTTCGGTTTATATTCAATCGTCGGAACGGCCTTCTGCTTCTCAGGGCTGAACCATCCCACCAGCATTGGGTTTACGCCCAAAAAACTGAGCGGCCTGCCTTGTGATATCAATTTTCTTCTTGGATTCACCCCTGAGGCTTTTCTGCAGACAAGAGGCGCCGAAACCAACACTTGCTGAAGATCTGTTATACTATCCATATTATCTTTATCCCCGTTTACTAACGAAATTTACCAAGGGGCCTCGTTTTCTTGTTGCGGCAAGTTTCGGACTGCAAGGCTGGGGCCGTCCACTAGCGGTTAAAAAAAAAAAAAAAAGTGTTTGGGACTGGGTATTTTACTATTTCCCTACTTTTTCCCCCAAGGGACAATTGCTCCAATCTATTCGTGCGGAAAAACAAAAAAGTGCTTGGGACTCTTGGGACTGGGTATTTTACCATTTCCCCTTTTTTTCCCCCCCGAGGGACAATTGCTCCAATCTATCTATTCGCGAGTAGCTGCGTGCTGGGTAGAACCGGGCCCAGCGTCCCAAATGATATTTACACTGATCATCATTGGAAAACCGGGGCCACCTACCATAGTAGCCTTCTTTTAGAGTAGTTTTTTTTTTTTTTTTAATGAGCTGTTCAGATCGCATGGCAGAAACCGGTGCGTACTCTTTAACGGCCGTAAAAGCGGGACTCGAACCGAGGACTCCGCCTTGGTAAATTCCTTCTCCGTCTCTGTAATTTTCCAGTTAATTTTCCAGTTACACTGGCGGACTTCCTGAGCTTTGATAGGAGAGAGTGAGCGCAGCCATAGCCAGTGGTGTTCTTGAAAAGAAAAGACTGGGAGAAGCCATAGCCAGCGATCTCTGCCACCATAAACTGGGTTGTTTTGCTCTTTCTAGTTTTTTTTTTTCAGTGTCAAATGTCCTAGGCTGCGCCCATACCGGCACTAATCTTCTTCGTGTGAACTTCTCTCGCAATCGTGATGTGATGTGAGAGAAAACTCCCAAGCCTGATAATAAAACTCGACAAAAACAAACAAGCGAAAAAAAAAAAACCAGAGAAAACTCCCAAGCTTTTGCATGACTGATGGGAGGTTGAATTCGTACATCGAGGGCCTCGCTGCACTACTCTCGAAATGTGCAAAACGAGAGTGAATCTTCCGCTAGAACACGGAAAGATGCACGGCCATGATTTTTGTCTTTTGTGCATGTCCAGAGTAGTGCAGCGAGGCCCTAAGACTGGCAAATCATGAGACCCTGGGACAACGATAAAGAGGACGGCGGGAAAGGGGGAAGAAGGGTGGAGAAGGGGGGGGCACAGAGGAGGAGGGGAGGAGGGGAGGAGGAGGAGGCAGGAAGAAGAAGAAGAAAAGAGAGAGCATCTCGCAATGATCTGTGCGCATCATGCTGTGGCCATGACAGTACCAAAATACCGCTGAATCGCATGTAACGAAAACGAAAAGAAGAAAACAAAAAGAAAGGGGGGCTATAGCCTCCCCCTTCTCCTTCTTCTTCCCTAAAAGGGAAACAATATAGCTGCAAAAGAAATGGAAACAATAATTGCAAAATCATATATCCAAAAGAAGTACTAAAAACTAAATATTATTACTCTCCAAAAAGAATGCAAAAAAAAAAACAAAAAAAAAACGAAAAAACGCCAATCTGCGCCTCTTCAGTAATATACCCCATGAGAAAACTGGTTGACGTCAACCAATAATAGGTTACTCCGTGGATCGAGATATACCTGGGGGAAAATCCCCCTACCTAGCAAAGAGGATTGGATTACGCGCCTGAATCTGGATGTGTTTCACGCAGAGATGCAGAAAAGCAGATCAGTCGCGAGTTTCTGCACCTATCCACAACCGCGTCCAGATGCAGGCGCAGAGCTGTAAGAAAAAGGCCAAAGGCAGAGGCTCTCGGCTGGAAAGAACATGCTACTGTGGCTCGCATGCTAAAAATAGGCATCATCATTTTTTATCTATTAAAAAAAAAACGAAACACGAATGTGATCTACCCGTTTGGGCGATCTGAGGAGAGGCTCCAGTGCCACGTGGACGTTAATGGGCAATCATGGTCGAAGATGCACATGGGCGATGATGCACCGAGTCAACATTATGTCTGTGTGCACTGTGCAGTCAGAAATTCACCGTAAGATGAAGTTCCCACTCCTCCTGCATTCAGTGCATCCTCATCATGACTCCACGGGAGCGGAAAGAGAGCTTGTTAACATTCACGATGAGTGTTACATTGTGCTCGACGGAAGCCAGCAGTATTCGTATTCGTCGGACGACCAGGGTCTCCGCTAATTACGCCAAGAGCGTCCGAAGGCTGCCTCCAGAAAATTAACAACGACCCGTATTCGTCGGAGGACCAGGGTCTCCGCTAATTACGCCAAGMGCGTCSGARGSYKCCTYCAGAAAAGATTACCCTCCCCCCCAAAATACGAAGAAACAATTAAAAGGGTCTCTCTCTCTCTCTCTCTCTCTCTCTCTCTCTCTCTCTCACACACACACACACACACACACACACACACACACACACACACAGACATGAGTCGGTGAAAGTCCGACGAAACAGTCTGGGACAGTCGTGTTTTTCTTGGAGTTATGTACAGCGAACATGACAACACACACACACACACACACACACACACACACACACACACACAGAGTCTGCTAGGATTGCAGAGATGTTGTGAGTAAAGCCGACCACTTTTCTGAGGGATATCGCTAACTCTGGGCGACGAGGCGAGTCCTCATCCATCAGCCAAATCGGGAAGTCAGTCGAAGCTTTCAACCTCCGGATGAGTCGGTGAAAGACTGCCGACAGTCATCTTCTTCTTGTGTGTGTGGAGTTGTCTGTAGCGACCATGACCACACACACACACACACACACACACACACACACACAACCCTCTTGAAACTTTGAGCTCGTGGAACACCCACGGACTCATATGCACCCCTTCAAATCTTGGACAGCATGGATCCCGAATTTCCACTGCAGTTACTAATGCAAAGAAAAAATAGAGGAAAAATACAGATCTTCGCAACGAACCTGGTCCATTGGTCACCACCTCCGCAAGACGGGAGGGCGCGCATTGGTTGGGGTTGTTTTTGTGGGGGGGGGGGGCAGGAATGGCGATACCCTTGTGGAGCGGAGAGGAAACGGGTAGGCGGAGCGCAACGCGGAGGAGGATGCGGAGGAGGAGGAGGAAGAGGAGGAAGAGGAGGAAGAGGAAGAGGAGGAGAATGGAGAACTCTGAGCAGCAAGGGAAAATGGGGAGGAGGGAGAGGAGGTGGCGGACAACGCCGAGGAGGAGGTGATGGTGGAAGAGGAGGAGGAGGAGGAGCATAAAGTAGTACTCCTTGCACGGGGGGGGGAAGAGGAGTGGGAGGACAACGTTGTGGAGAAGGAGGAGGAGCAGTAGGAGGACGAAGAGGAGACAGCAGTAGTCCCAGCAGCAGGGGAAGGACAGGAGGGAGAGCGGGAGAAGCGATCGGAGAGGGAGGACAAACCGGAGAAGGAGGAGGAGGAGGAGAAAGTAGTTCGTCGAACAGCGTGGGAAGACGAAGCGGGAGGGCGGGAGGAGGGAGAGGAGTGGGAGGACAACGCCGAGGAGGAGGAGCAGAATGAATTAGTATTCCGAGCAGCAGGAGAGCAGGAGGAGGGAGAGGAGTGGGAGGACAGCGCCGAGGAGGAGGAGGAGGATGAGGAGGAGGAGGAGGAGGAGGAGGAGGAGGATATAGTACTCCGAGTAGCAGGGCAAGAAGAGGGACAGCGGGAGGAGGGAGAAGGGTGGGAGGAGAATACCGAGGAGGAGGAGGACGATAAAGTCGTACTCCGAGCAGCAGGGGAAGAAAACGAGGGAGAGCGGGAGTAGGGAACGGAGTGACAGGAGAACGCCGAGGAGGAGGAGGAGGAGGAGGAGGAGGAGGAGGAGGAGGAGGATATAGTACTCCGAGTAGCAGGGCAAGAAGAGGAGGGACAGCGGGAGGAGAATACCGAGGAGGAGGACGATACAGTCGTACTCCGAGCAGCAGGGGAAGAAAACGAGGGAGAACGGGAGTAGGGAAAGGAGTGAGAGGAGAACGTCGAGGAGGAGGGGGAGGAGGAGGAGGAGGAGGAGGAGGATATAGTACTCCTAGTAGCAGGGCAAGAAGAGGAGGGACAGCGGGAGGAGGGAGAAGGGTGGGAGGAGAATACCGAGGAGGAGGACGATACAGTCGTACTCCGAGCAGCAGGGGAAGAAAACGAGGGAGAACGGAAGTAGGGAAAGGAGTGAGAGGAGAACGTCGAGGAGGAGGAGGAGGAGGAGGAGGATATAGTACTCCGAGTAGCAGGGCAAGAAGAGGAGGGACAGCGGGAGGAGAATACCGAGGAAGAGGACGATGAAGTCTTACTCCGAGCAGCAGGGGAAGAAAACGAGGGAGAGCGGGAGGGAACGGAGTGAGAGGAGAACGCCGAGGAGGAGGAGGAGGAGGAGGAGGAGGGGGCGACAGCAGTACTCCCAGCAGCAGTGGAAGGACAGGAGGGAGAGCGGGAGAAGGAAGAGTGGGAGGACAACGCCGACGAGGAGGAGGAGAAAGTAGCACGCCGAGCAGCATAGGAAGAAAAGGTAAAGTGGGACGACGGAGAGGAGTGGGAGGGCAGCGCCGAGGAGGAGGAGGAGGAGGAGGAGGAGGAGAAAGTAGTACTCCGCGCAGCAGGGGAAGGAGAGGAGGCAGAGCGGGAGGAGGGAGAGGAGTGGGAGGACAGCGCCGAGGAGGAGGAGGACAACGACGACGACGTAGTACTCCGAGCAGCAGGGGAACAAAAGGAGGGAGAGAGGGAGGAGGGAGAGGACTGGGAGGGCAATGCCGAGGAAGAGGACGATAAAGTAGCGCTCCCAGAAGCAGGGGAAGAAGAGGAGGGAGAGCGGAAGGAGGGCGAGGAGATAGAGGATAACGCCGAGGAAGAGGAGGAGAAAGTAGTACTCCCAGCAGCAGGGGAAGGAGAGGGATAGCGGGAGGAAGAAGAAGAAGAAGAAGAAGAAGAAGAAGAAGAAGAAGAAGAAGAAGGAGCGGCGACAGAATTCGATGGCAGGGGGGAATGAATCAGGTCCGGTATACGCCATTGAATCCATGCGGGTAGCTTCCTCCTCTTTTCCATCTTCTCTCTCTCCTCTAACGCATTGCCAGATACAATTTTCCACCCTACGAATGGTCGAACGGAATCCGGCGAAGGCTGGTACACCCCTAGAAAGCCCGACGAGAGGGTCATAACCTTGCGTCTGCCGACCCGCCGGAACGCGACATCAACACTCCCATCGGGCAAATCCGAAGCGTCCATGGGCGACTTCCCTCTCTTCCCCGCCTTGCAGTGGGGGAAGAGCATCAGCATCCACCCCATGCACTTCCGTCCCGCCGGCGAGTAATGATACATCCCCTCCCAGAAACTCAAATCAACGTCGCCGTCGAATGCTTTCACGAACTGCGCCACAATCGGCATCAACTCGTCGATCCACGTGGTCAACTCTCGGGTCAGTCCACGCAGCTGACGTGTCTTCTCCTCAAGCAACAACCAATCATCCCGCTCTCCTAACAGAGTAATCGACGGAATTCCCGAGCTACTTCCATTACTTCGCAAATCCAAGACCATCATCAGCCAGTCTGCTACGTTCCCCGTCGGGGTTGAAGCTTCGTCGTCAGCATCGTCAGCATGAACGTCTCCTCCTCCTCCTCCTCCTCCACCTCCTCCTTCTCCTCCTCCTCCTTCGGCGGGACGTTCTCGTAAACAGAGCTGCAGATCATCATGTAAGGCGAACTGCCCTGCGGATCGAGCGACCGCCTGAGCGAAGATAGGCCAAGGTTCCTCCGTCAGCTCTGTGTCATCATCAAAAAGCATATCCATATCCCGATCCCGATCCATATCCATACCCTTATCCATAGCCGTGGCGGCAGAGGTGAGAGAAGAAGCAGCAGGAGGAGAATGAAGACGAGAAGGGCGCCCGTTTTGCGGCCTCGAGGGCAAGTTGTCATCGCCGGCGACCTGGACTACGACTACGCCGCTGCTGCTGCCGCCGCCGCCGCCGCCGCCGCCCCCCATCACGAGGCGAAGGGCTTCCGCTTCCTTGCCGTGAGTGGCGCAAGCCGCCACTCCCTGCACAATGACCAGCCATAAGTCCTCCGGACGCAGGATTAGTCGAAGCTGGTTCTCGTAGGCGATGTGGACGGCCGCAAGGAAGCCATTAGCGAAACGCGTCGAGGCTAGAATCGGTTGATCGGGATGGGAGACCGCGACGAGGGAAAACTGATGAGAGAAGGAGATGGAGAGGAAGGGGGCGTGCGCAAGTTCCCGCACACCCGCGGGCACGCCAGGATTCAGCGTACGCGTCGTGCCATCACACGCATTTGCGCCGTCGCTCATCGCTCCATTGTGAGCAGACAAAGGTATTGCGACCGATGCATCAATGATGGAGCGAGCACACATTTTTTCCTCCTGCTCTTCTTCCCCTTTCATCGTCTTCTTTGCCGTCTTCTTGGTATTGACTCTCTCCAGGTGTTGCTGACTGAACCGTTCGCGTGCTTGTTGCTTGTGCCCGTGTGTGCATGTGTGTCTATGTGCGTCTTTTCTTCCTCTTCGTCTTCTTCTTCTTCTTCTGCTGCTGCTGCTTCTCGTTCTTATTCTTTATTCTCCTCCTCCTGATGCAGATGTCACTGACGTTGCTGCTACTGCTGTTTCTCGTCCTTATTCTTTATTCTCCTCCTCCTGATGCAGATGTCATTGACAGAACAATTCGTTAGTGCTTTCGTATGTGTGTGGAATTGTGCATGTGCGAGTGTGCGTGTGCGACTGTGCGTGTGCTTGTGAGTGTGCGTGTGCTTGTGCGCGTGTGTGCGCGTATGGTCGCCTGTGTGTCAGTGCCTGTGAGAGGAGGCGGGCGTGAGGCGGGGGGGGAGGCTGGTGGGCGCAGGAATAGTGATGGCATGGCAAACTGATGCACAAGCCACGAAGAGAGTGTCTGCAGTTACGTTACCGAAAATAAACGAAAGAGCAAAACGCGAAAGAGAAAAACGCGAGACAGGCACTCCATGCCGGGCATCGCCACAGCACTGTCAAAATGTGCAAAATGAGAACGAACTTACCGCTAGAACATGGGCAGATGCCCCCGCCACATTTTTGCCTTTTTCACATTTTTTCGTGAGTGGTGTGGCGAGGTCTTTAGGGTCTCGCTCCACTACAATCTGCTGTACAATTTCATATTGCTGCCGTATAGCTGTCAGCGCTAAAAAAGACGTACGAAACCTACGTGTCGCTCCACTTCCTGAGTTCACTACAAAACACCCACACTACAAGACAGCAATTTGTCGACCCAGACTCCAGGTGCTCCATACGATTTCGCTGTAGAACGCCGACCTCCTTTGACCACCTTCCGAGTAAAGACTTTTGCAGGCTGGGGACTACACGGGATCGGGTCTGGCTGCACTACTCAACGGGCATACTCACACTATTTGCGACTGCGATTGCGATTATTGGCCTCGCCACACTACTCCCGAGTTGGGGCCTCGCCACACCACTCTTGAAAACTCTTTTTCAAGAGTTGCTGCATCGCCACACAGCCTCTTGACACTTGGGGCAGTCAAGAGCTGTCAGAGTGGCTTTTGAAACCCTTTCAAGAGCAGCTCCTGAAAGATTGGAAACCCCAGCCTGCAACGCATGCGTTTCCAAGCATCCTTGGCCGAACCCTTGACGGACTTTCGATTTTCAAGGGTTGTCAGGCCGTTATCCTGACGCCAAGCGGAAAAAACAAAGTTGTATGACTGTCGTTTTCATCCTGTGTCCAACGGCATAGCCCTTTGGAGAGTGCTTTGGAGAGTGCTGTGTGGCGAAGGGGCCGAAAACTCTTGAAAACCCAACTCTTGAGAACGTCTGACAGCTCTTGACATATTTCCCTGTTTCAAGCGTGGTGTGGCGAGGCCCTTGGCCATTTTCGGGAGTGCAGCATCGCCACACCAGCTCCCGAGTTCAACCTGTCAGATTGAATTTGGGAGCTGTCAGAATGTGGCTCCCGAGAGCACTCCCGAACTCACCGCCTGCAAAGCATTTTTTTTGAGAGATCTCCTTCGCTCCTCCGAGTTTCATCCCAGATTCGGGAGTGGAGCCGGAAGGGACAAACGACTTCTGCCAGACTGCTTCACGCTGATCGTGTCCATATGTGGCAAATGACATTTTCAGACTTTGAGCGCGGCCGGGTCGAGAGTACGTCCAAAATTTTTCTCAAGTCAGGAGTGGTGTGGCAAGGCCCTTTTTTTTTTTTTTTTTTTTTTTGACAGAAAGAAGCTCCAGTCTATTCGTGGGGAGCAGCACGTGATGGGAACCGGGCCCAGCGTCCCATATGGACATACATCAGTTTGTAACACCGGGGCCATTATCCGGCTTTGGCTGAGAAAAACCTGAGAATAGAAAATTCTAATGCTGATGATACTAATGATGCCAGTGATGACAAAAAATGTAGCTACACATGCTGAGGCAGCCATACTGGACTCCTAATCCAGAACAACTCCAAGCCCTCCCTTTCCAGGATATTGCAACTCTAGAACAAGACAAACCTATCCCCCCACTGCCATAGCTGATCTCTCCTCACTACCCAGACTAACCTCACCCCATAGGTTGTCAAGGTAGCCCCTCCTGGTTCACCATTGGCTTGCTTTCCTCCCTCAGCAAACCCCAGCTCTCTCTACAAGGCCTCCCACCCCTGCCAATTACAGGTTACTGTAATTGGCAGGGGTACGTGCTACCAGGTAATGTGGTCACACAGCAACGACGGATATGGCCATGTACACAAAAGACACCACCGCAACTGCCCCTCCAACTCCAAATGCGATTTTTAACCACCAGTACCTCGCCCAGCTATCAAGTCCGAGGCTCGGACTATCCCGAGCCTCTGACTTTATTGCCGAGCCTCGGACAACCGGTAGTACATCACGGAAAAAGAAAAAAAAGAAAAAACAGTTTAAAACAAAAAAAACATAGAACATTCTGCAAAAACAGAAAAGAAAAAAAAAGAAGGAAATCAGACGACATGCCCAACGAGAATGAATCTTCATCGATAAAGAGGAAGATTCATTCTCGTGGGAGGTTCACACACACCAAGGGCGAGGCTTTTACAAACTAAACTCTTCTTTACTTAAACAGGGTCAATTTAAGCATTACATTAGAGATGTGTGGGCCTTTTGGCATTCGACTAAAGATAGGCATGATTCTTATGAGGAATGGTTTAATAATGGCTTAGCCTTTTATGTAAGAAATGTAATGAGTTTTCGAAAATACAAGCCAAAAATAGATATCAACAAGAAATAAATATCCAAGAACAAATTCTAAATTACGAAATATCACATCATTCTGATGATCATTCTGATGATGACCCTCCTCTTACTGATATTCGGGACCTCAAAAAACAATTACTTTCCTTTGCTCAACATCGTTGGCAAGGTCATTTGATTAGAGGCAAACTAACTAAGTTTGTGACAGAAGGACAGATGGATGCTACTTTCTTTGCTCTCGCTCGTACACGATCGAGACGCTCCTTAATAAATGGACTTACAGATCCAAGTAGTACGGATCAACTTCTATCCTCATCCTCAGCAGGCAGTCTAAAAATAACATATGATTTCTACAAAAATCTCTTCTCATCTTCCAAGGATCCTGAGGAAACAAAGGAAGATGATTTAGCAACAAACAGTTTCCTTCAGCCCATGACACAAACACTCTCCCATGAACAAAAAGATTTATTAGAAAAACCAATGAAAAAAGAGGAAATTTGGGCATCATTACTACAGATGGAAGAAGGGAAAACCCCAAGAATTGATGGCTTGCCAAAAGAATTTTGGGAAATCATGTGGCCAACTTTTGCCTCTGATCTAATGAAATTCTTTAACTCAATCCAGGAATCTAGAAAAATGGGGGAATTTGTGGGACAAGGAATCCTTACACTCATCCATAAAAAGGGGGATAAGACAAACATTAGAAACTACAGACCGATTACTCTATTAAGTGTGGTCTATAAAATATTAGCTAAAGCTTTGGCTAATCATCTGATCCCTGTGATGGCGGACATTATTCATCCCTCTCAAACAGGATTTATCAATGGGAGACATATTCAAGACAACATATTACTCATTAACGAATTAATTAAACTATCAAGACAATCAAAGAATAACGTTGTCTTTATTTTTATCGATTTTGAGAAAGCTTATGATCATGTGGATTGAAGATTTTTAGATGCTTGCTTAGTTAAAATGAATTTTGGACAAAACTTAAGGAAATGGGTACGTATCCTACATATGAATGCAACCACACACATTCTTATAAATGGGCTTCTTTCCCCGGAAATCAAACTACAACGGTCGGTCAGACAAGAAGATCCATTAACACCCTTCTTGTTCTTAATCATCATGGAAGCACTAGGGGCCAATTTAAGGGCAAATATAAATATAAAAAAATTGAGTATCTCTGGAATCCCTGAGGAAGCCATCCCAATCTCTTCAATGTTTGCTGACGATCTTACTGTTATCATGGATGCAACACAAGAGAATATGATTGAAATCCAAGCGCTAATGAACAGGTTCGCACAAGTCTCAGACATGGTTGTCAACTGGGGCAATAAAACCCAGGGCTGGTGGATCCACTCTGCAGGAGATAGGCCACAGGAACAACCAAGAGTGAAATGGCTACCTTTAGAAACACCAGTGCGTGTCTTGGGGGTCTCCCTAACTGCAGTCGGGAAACCCACTGCTCATAATGAGTGGGTAACTAAACCAGTTATTGACAAGATGAATTTATGGAAAAATAAGCACACTTCAGTATTTGGGAGAGCTCTTATTATTAACAATGTCATATTGGCTTCTATATGGTATAAAACGGAGTTGTGGTCGTTGAGTAAAATAAGCACTAAAGTGTTGCAGAGGCAGATCACAGCCTTTCTGTGGAGGGGTAATCATGATTTGGACAAGGTTATCCCTAGAGTGGCTTGGAGATATCTGTGCCAACCCAAATCCAGAGGGGGCCTAGGGATTCTAGACCCTACCCTTCAGTCGCAGRCTTTAGCTTTACAATGGATAAAAAAGTTAATCTTGTCTACTGATTTACCATGGCAACCAATGGCCTTAGAACAAATTAGAAGATTAGCACCCCAGGCAAGTGAAGATACTCATCCTCTTTCCTAGATTGAAGATCGATTTTGGACTATCCCTAGAGTGTTAATAGGACGAAGAGGTTCAGGGGATAGAGAGGAGGTCAGAAGTGATCTAGTTTTGGATAATTTCTGGGCAAATCTTTTAAAAATTTGGAGGCAGCTTCCATTGCCAGATAGACCCTTTCCCAATAGGTACGAAGAAATCCTTAGCCAACCCTTGTTTGGAAATCGTTGGATCACTGACATGAATGGTTGTATCCTTAATGCTTCTAAACCTCCATGGAGTCAATGGGTTAAAAAAGGCATTACACGGATTAAGGACATATGGGATCCCTGTATAAAAGATTGGAAGTTAGGTGATCAAATTAAATCGACACTAAGGTATGCACATCACCTAAATACAAACCTGGAGCAGATAATTTTTTTCATTCCTCTAGCATGGGTTTCCACCCTCAGGAAAGGTCCTAAGATYAAGGAGGGGGATTGGGTGGTGGGAGTTCAAAATAATGGAGAAAAGGTAGTGGGGCAGGTAGTCCTTAAATCCCAGCAAGATGCCTCAGTCAGTATCTGCAGAACTAACAGACATCATTTCCTGATTCACACGAGGGATGATCCGGTAGTATTGTTCCCCTTAACACATATGTATCGGGTTAGGGTTTTATTTATTCCATCAGTTCAGAAATGGAAGGTTTTCCACCCAGAAATTCCCATCCCAGATTTACCGCTGGACCCTGAGGAATGGGTATGGAATACCTCGAAAAAAGGTCACTCTAGATCCCTGCAAAATCTTACGGTTAAAGCGACATATCGATTACTTAGACCAAAAATTCA